TGACAAGATTGCAGATGACAGCAAAGATGATGATTCAATGAATGATGATGAGTCTTCTGAGGTTCCAAACAGTGAATCATGTTCAGACATTTCATCTGGTCCCAATCAAAGGCCTATTGATACAGATTCTTCGTCATGGGCTCCCTTCTCAAGCTTGGAGGTTCGTAAATGTAGCCTTGTATGATAGAAACAAAGTTTCTCGGCTAGAGCTGCAATGTCTTTATTTTGATTATTTCTTTTACTTTTATCTTCACTTTTGATTTTTCAAGCAAATGGTCGCTTTACTGATACTAGGCTCAGGAAGGACCACGATGTTGGTGGATCAATTTGAAAAAGTGAGGTCCTATATTGGTCTATTGCACATAAAGATTCCCGGTTACAAAAGTCTTCAGGATGGCCGTTCAAGACTCAAGAAACGCTACAGTTTTGATGTCTCTGAAAGTCTGAGTCCGTTAGAAAACCCGTGCTTTGGACTTCAAGTAAAGCAGATATTAACACAAGTAATGATCTACTCACTTTTGATATTAATATTTTATTTTTCAAATCACTCACATGGCAATTCATTAGGAAGTTGCGAATCCTTATGTCATGGAGCATCTACAATCAATTCCCGAATTACCTGGTCCAACAGACAAAGTGAATCGTCTGTCGCAAAGTAGAAAGTGGCGGGAGGAGCTAGATAAAGACTTGCGTGTACAGATGGTTGATGCACCAAGAGGACATTTTTATTTATTTGAACCAGTGGAACTCATTTCTGGAAAGCTTGTAATCCCTGTATTCTTTTATCAACAGGATAATCAGATCTTTGCAAAGTGTACCCCCGCACGTCTAATTTATCAAAGTGTGGATTCCAATGATGGTCCACAAATACGTGTGCAGTTTCAATCAACTTCTGATTTTAATTCTCAGCTGTTGACTTTGATCAATGTAAAATCTTTTGTGAATTCTTTTGAAAAAATTGAAGTACGCAAGGATAGATTTTTGAAGGACAATTGTGGTGATCACATGTACGGTAAGCACATCATACCTCTGGTAACTATTGTCATCAAACTTATCCTGTATCTCAGAGGATGTGGGGGGGGATTTTATTTCAGTTCCGTTACAAAATCCATGGAGAAAGAAATCAGGGGGTAAGATTATTCGCCACATACCTCTGGTGTTGTATTGTGATGATCTCTCTGGAAATATCTCGAAAAAGTGGAATAAACACATAGCGTTCTACTTCACGTTGGCCGGATTACCTCCAAAATTATCTAATCAAGAGTATAACTGTCATTTCTTGACAACCTCAAACACAGCAGGCGCTTTAGAGCTCGCAGGTCCCGTGATTGACGAAATAAAGTGATTTATTTTGTCAACGTACCATTGTGAATTCAGGCTAAAATGTTTTGATCTTTAGTGAACTTGGTTCAAATGGATTCACGGCCTATGATCATGTTGCGGACAAAGAGGTATTGGTAGTACCATTTGTGCTATGCCATCTAGGTGATTCGCCTATGCACGCCGAAGTCACAAACACAATGAATCCAACGGTTTCTCTCACCCCATGCCGTATTTGTGACCTTAAAGTCAAAAAGCTGGTGGATAAAAGGTCACCAAAGTATGTGAGCAATTTTGTTGCAGTTGGTGAAGACGGAACCAAGGTGATTGTGTCTTGTCTGATCCTTTGTGTTCCCTCTGAAAACGCTGACATACAATGGATTATGGAACCATATTAGTTGTCTTTACCGTTCAGAAATTGGTCTGACACGAAAAAGGGTACACGTGATCTTTGGGACCTAGCACAGCGCCCCGGTACAATTGGTGCATTCAAGAGTGAATCAGCTTTACTGGGAATCCGGGACGCACTAAATATGTTCTTTGTCAAGAAGGTTCAAGACTTACACCGAGATCCAAAAATTACAAAAGAAGATGTTGCAAAGCTCTGCAAAGACCTGAATGATGTTTTTAAAGACCGCTTATTCAATCCTTTTATCCGGTTGAAAGGTAGGAGTTTGTTCTAATATTTATTGTGAAAAAATTAATTGACTTGTGTTCAACAGGATTTGACGGACATCGTGACACTCCTGTGGAGATATTGCATGTTATCTTGTTAGGTGTGGCAAAATACCTATTACGGAACAGAATGCAACGCTGTTCAGCAAAAGAAAAGAACGAAATTTGGGGCCGTTGGAGATCTTTCAACACTTCAGGGTTGAAGGTACCCCCAATACAACCCAAAACCATGATCAATCATTTTCTCAGTCTCACTGGAAAGGACTTTCGTGTGGTACTACAAGCCGCACCATTCATCTTCTTTCAGTGTGAAATGTCTCCCGAAGAACGTGAAGCCTGGATGACTCTTACTCATTTGGCACCTTATATCTTTCAGACCGAAATCACAAACATAGAAAAATACATCAAGGATCTGAAACTACATATCGACATGTTCCTCAAAGCAATCTTGCAACTTTCGGCTCAATGGTGCAATAAACCAAAGTTCCACATGTTGGTTCACTTATCCGATGCTATTTTCCGTTTTGGACCACCATGTCTTTTTGCAACTGAGAATTTCGAAGGGTATAATGGCAACACCAGGAACCATTCTATTCACTCCAATCACGGTAGCCCCGGACGTGACATAGCAAATTCATCTAATACTCATAGGCTTACCCGAAGTATAACCTCTGGATCTCTGATGTATGACAAAGTATTGAAATCCTATGTCCGAGCAAGTAAAAACGTCACAGATATATTTAAGACCAACACCTTATTTCAGAAAGCATTGGGCTACAATTATTCATGGAATCAGCCTGGTCAATTGAAGACTGGAAGTAAGTCATTATTCACAATATTTGTTCGATATCAGGCTGAGACTATTCAAAATTCCAGAAATTCATGACATACAACCTTCTAACCCAAGGAGTTGCATTCCAGATGTTATCTATAATGCTTACCGGTCTCAAACATGGAAGGTCCTGACGTCAATAACCTTGACAAATGACCAAACAATAAGAGAAAACAATTTTGTTTCTGTAAGTTTAAAATATTTAATGGTATACATAATTTATGAGAAATTGACTTATCCGGCTTTGTAGGCCAAATTTACACCTTCTTCTACCGGAAAGATAATTGGAAGGGTGCGAAGGGTCTGGAGCGTCAGTAAAAGCGACCCTGAAAAGTGCAAGATTGAGCTGATTAAATGTAAGACAGGTGATGTGAGTGTATTCTACGGTATGCGCGAGATAAAGCAAACTCAGGATATTGTATGGGTCACTCCGCGTGTGAGAATTTTTGATCATTTCATTATATTTAATCTTTCTTATGTATCAAAGACTAATTCCAAAAACTTCCAAACAGGATATTGAGGGGGTGTTGAATATCCAACACGGCTGTCATAAAAGTGGATGTACGGTACAAAAGAATAAACCTGTGATGATAGAACGCCAGGTTTCAAAAGCCCTAGAGCATGTGGTGGCACATATGAAACCAATAGTTTTGTCCTCAACGCTGGAGCTTTCTATTCAGCAGAACTCAATCGCAAATGGGGAGGATTATCTTTCTTGGAAGTGCGTGCAGAAGATTGGATGAAAGCATTCAAAGTTGGCATTAAGAATTGGGAAGATGCATTGAAAGCAAAGCAGAACCAGAAGGAGAAAAAAGATAAGAATATACAAGAGAGAGCTTTAGCAAGACACGAAGGGCGATCTCTGGTCAAGAAGAGAAAAAGGAATCCGACTCGACCTGGTACGCAGCTTGATGAACCGGTCGCTGGCCCATCGACGGGGTTTGCTTGACCTGAAATTTGATGTGTTGATTAAGTTTGCAATCACTTATATTCTCGATGATTGTTGTAGCTTATTGAAATAAGTATTGGTAACCTTGAATTAAGAATATTCAATTTATTGCCTTTGGCTCACTGCCTTCCAACAAAAAGAATTACTCAATAAAAGGTTGCAATGAAGATTAGAGAATATTCAATTTATTGCTGTTGGCTCACTGCCTTCCAACAAAAAGAATTACTCAATAAAAGTATGCGATGAAGATTAGAGAATTCAATTTATTGCTGTTGGCTCACTGCCTTCCAACAAAAAGAATTACTCAAGAAGAGATGCAATAAAGATGATGTTGTTGATGGCGAAAACAACCTCATCAGACCAGTGTTTATATAGAAAAAATTGGATCAGCCCAGTTTCAAAAGCCTTTGTAGCACTCAAAAGTCCAGGGAATGCTATCGATTTTGACTAAAAGCTCTCCATATCATTTTCAAGCTATTGCTTATGGCTTTTGCTTCTGGTTGAAAACTTTTCACAATGCTCTTGACAATACAAATTGAACCTGCGCAAAAAGTTTTGCTTTTGGTTGAAAACTTTTGAAAGCGATTGCAAGCCGATGCTCTTGACAATCTAAATTGAGCCTGCGCAAAAACTTTTCCTTTTGGTTGAAAACTTTTCAAAGAAATTGCAAGACAATGCTCTTGAGAATCTAAAATGAACCCACACGAAAAGTAGAGCCTGTTGATTGTAAGTAGCAAAATGAATAAGCAGTGAGGAATTTTGTTTGGAGTCAGCGCATTCTGGCACTTTTTTGAATGGCCTTCAGCGAATGGCAAATGCTTTCAACACAAAGCATTGAAAAATGATTCAAGAACATCATCAGAGATTTCAAAAATTGTTTGACACATGAATTATCATTAAATTATTCTGCTCTGGGTAAGAATATGTTTTGGACTTTGAGAAAAAAAGTAAGTAGATTTAATGATGAAGTCCTCATGGATATGAAAACAAGTTCTCGTTTGATGTCTTCAAATAAACCTGCTTTCTTTGGCATGTCCCTCTTCTTGGAAATTTCATAATCAGATGATAAAGAGTTATTATTTCGCAGATAAACAATGAGTGTCACAAGACACATGTCAATAAGATGACATTTAAAGACCTCTTTACTGTCCAAAGTGAGTCAACTGTCTTTAATTCGATTTACTTCACCTTCCACCACTCCAATTATCCCTAAGTCAATTTTCAATGCGTCGACAACGTTATCATCCGTTTCCCCAGAAATCTGACCAACCTCCAAGTAAGAAGGTCACTCGTGAAGGACCATCAAAAGAACACAGCCAAAACCGTAAACGTTTGGAGGAGTTGGTTGAACACCGAAAGAAATCTCGTGTGTCCAATAAATCCACTGATCATCAATCGCCAGAGGCTATTCAACCACAAGACCTTGAAAAGTTTAATCAAGATGAGTGTAAGTATTTGAATTGTCATCATAACAATCAGCACTGATCCTCCACAATCTTGTTTACCAGCTGATCATCCGTCCTCAGAAGATCATCAACCAAAAGGTCTCAGAAACTCCAACAGACCAGATGACTGTAAGTACTTGTCCCCTGTGTCATACTCACTCATTTGTTGATGTCCTGATCAACCTTCCTATCTTTGGATAGTGAGAGACAATGATGATGATAAATTTGAAGATGGCAGTGGTTTTCAAGAGGATGAATTCGATGACAAAGGTAACAAAAAAACTGATGAAGACAATGAGGATGATGAATACAACAGAGACGACGAGAACAATGAAGACAAGGAAGACGACAAAGACAATGAAGACGATGAAGACGATGAAGACGATGAAGAACTAAACAGAATTCCACGCATCAAGAGACCTGCAGCTCAACCAAAGTCTTCCAACAGGATCCTCCCTTCTGGATCATCCTCAAGTTTGTCTCACTTGACTGGACCAGCATTAAGGACGTTCAATCGACTATCAACTCGCACACAACTTGATGAGGATCATAAGGTAATGGGACGTAAACTTTGCAATGTAAGCTTATCAACAATATTTTCATTTCTTTCAGCAAACTGACTCGATCTCCATCTTCATAGGAAGAAACTCCTCGAGACCAATTTATGGCAATTGTGGTTTCTAACATTTCAGCTCATCAAGAAATGGCTGAATTACGTAAGGAAATATCTGAAGTGAAAGATTCGGTCAAGCTGCTCTCATCTCGCCATAAAGGTGGGAATTTTGATGATACCAATAAAACACTCAGGGCAAGTAACTCTTATTACTTCCACAAACCTATTGATGTATCTTCACTGACCATCCTGATGGGAAATTACACAGCTTGCTATCAAGTCTAATGCAATAAAGAATATAATGAAAGGGGACATTCAAGCTTACACATCACTTGATGACAAAGAAGGCAATCAGGATCAACTTCCGCATTCCTTGTATGCAGAGACCTTGGTAGGTCTCTTCCTTTCTCTCTTCTCTTGCAATATTGGATTGATGCTTGTTTGTGTTTTAGAATGATGTGCTTGCCTATCCCAAAACGTGGAAGAAAAAAAATCTACCTGCTGGTTATGGAAAAAATCCTGATGCAAGTGATGCGAATCTTTTTCATCAGTTGATCAAGACTGTGTTAAAAGAAGCACGGAAAGAGTTCAAAGATGTTGTAAGTTTGCTCATTACAACACTCGATTTCTCTGACTATATCAACACTATGCTTACAATACTGTATGTATCTTTTGCAGCTTCTTACAAATATCCAACTTAAATCAAGGAAAAATATTGTGGCATCAAACTTGGAGGTACCGATATTGGAAAGTATTTGGGTCAAGGTAAGCCAATATTCCATATGGTCATATTTGCTCATTTTGGCCATCAAGCTTACCTTTCACAACATTAATAGCTTTACAAAAAGGAGCATGGGAAAGTTGGTGGGAACATAAAGCCCTGTGATGAAATTATACAGGAACTCACCCATCTTCAAAGTACCCGATATGCATTTCTTGTAAGTCAAACCTCCCTGTTATTTTATTTTGTTATGTTGACTGATACTATATTACTCAGAGAATGCAAGCGTGTCATTTGGGCTTACATGAACAGGAGTACGATGACAAAAGCGTCTGGTCTGTTGTGGACAAAAAACTGGAGTTTTTGCAAAGTAAAACAACAAGATATCGTTATGCGTAAGTAGTGTTACCTCTCTTCAATTTCAAATCAACAATCTATTAAAAGATTATATGTTCTACCAATCAGGTACTTCCTTCTTTGTTTACAATTGGACCATGACCGATTTGATGGCAAGAAAACATTTGACACGATCAAAGTTACCACTGATTTTGCTTTACCTGATGAGACTTCCGTATATGGTGTGATGAATGATCTCGATGTGACATATGGAAATAGTTTAGCAAATGATGAGGAGGCTCATGAAAACTCTGAGGATTAGACCACATGAGCAACATTTGTCATTATCGAGGTTGTTAACTCAGGTAGTCAAGAAGATGTTACTCTTCTCTAACCATATTTTTAGCTTTTATACTGCTTTAATTTCCTTCAGATCTAAATCTTCAAAGCCATTATTATTATTTTCATTCTAATTATCGGGCCAACAATTGGGTCTTCACTAGTACATGCATTTATCTCTTACACACACAGCCAGCCCTTGCTTGTATCATTATTTTCTACACACAGTCCTCACCTGTATCTTCATTTCATACACACACAGCCCTTACTTGTATGTTTTATCTCTTTTATAGTTGTCATCCTTTTATTGTTTTAGAAAGGTATTAAAACTAGATACTGGGTTTGTCAGTGCAATGAATGGCTCAGCCTAGTTTCCTCAGCGTGAAAACTGTCAGACAAAGAGCAATTTGTATATCATGATCAAAATTAAGTGTGTATGGCCAGTGGAAGAATTGATTTTTGCCGTGTTTTCAACCATGTGAGAGTGGTTGAACAACCATGAGAGGTACTGCAAGCCAACCTGACTGGAGCAGCACAACCACACATTTTCCGCTCAACATTGGGTTTTTCTCCGCTTGAACCCGGGTGAAAAACCGGGGGAAAACCCCCGTTGAAGCACGGTTGGGAGGAACTCGTTCAAAACAAGTTCTTCCCCAGTCAGCAACGAACCGGAAATCAACCGGGGCAAAATCCGGTTGAAGAACCGAAATAGTGACCTGGTGGTGTAGCACCAATTCTCCCACTTGGGAAGGAGTTCCTACCCTTCGTCGTTGATTGTATTGAACGGCTTGCTCAACTCGGCTTGACCACAAAGCATCTCTCCACGTAGCCCACTCCGTTTGGCGACGTTCGATCCAATGCTTAACGTCGTCATTGTCCTCTTCTACAGGATTTTTGATGGGGAAGAGGCGTGGAATTCTACCATACACGAAGTGGAAAGGAGAAACTCCGGTAGCTACATTCACCGCGGAGTTGATGGCAAATTCGGCTACAGGTAATGATTGTAACCATTTACCATGCTTATCAGCTGCTAGGTGGCGCAATATCTGCCCAATTGTTTTGTTGGATTGCTCGCTCCGCCCATCTGCCTGTGGGTGATAGGCTGTCGAGAGACTGATCTTCACTCCTAAAAGTTCATGCAACCGTTTCCAGAACCTCGACGTCCACGCTTTGTCGCGGTCGCCAATGATGGACTCCGGTAATCCAAAGATAGAGGACCACAAATTGAACAATCGGCTTGCTGATTTCTCAGCGTTGTCTTGCTGACAGGCCGGTATCAGGCGTACGAAACCAGTCAAGCGGCATGTACAAGAGAGTAGCATGTCGTAACCCGAGACTTTAGGGAAAGGGCCAACGAAATCGATTGCTATTGCTTCCATGGGGTGGCGAGGGATCGGGTTACTCTGTAGTTTTCCTGTTGTCTTCACCGTTCTAGCCTTGTTCCGCTGGCATGAATCACAGGATCGCAATTGCTTGTCAACCTCTTTACTCATTCCTGGCCAGAAGAAGGTGTGCCGCAGTCGAGTCAGTGTTTTCAGCGGTCCCAGATGACCCAGCGCTTCGTGGGCTTGCTTGATGAAGTTCTTGCAAAGGTCGCTATGGTTTGGAATGACCAGCCGTCCATCTATGTACATCAAGCCGTCTTTCAAGATGCAGTCCTCGCGCAACGGTAGGACTTTCTTTAGCTTGATGCAGAAGGCGTCTGATTCGTACCCAACTTGTATGTTAGTGAGTTCTTCCGGCGTAAGTGTAGCTTGCAATTCACAACTTGCCACATCTTCGCGTCGAGATAGGGCGTCGGCAACCGAATTGTCTGGACCCTTGAGATAGCGGAAGTCGAGATCGAATTGTGAGAGGGTCTCCAACCATCGTGCCTGTCGCCGACTGAGATTACGCTGTGTCAGTAAGGTTGTCAACGAGTGGTGGTCTGACATGACATTGACCCGCATTCCTAGAAGTAAAAGCCTCCACTTATTCAAGGCATTGATTACTGCTAGAAGCTCCTGCTCATGCACTGGGTAGTTTTTCTCTGCCGCATTCATTGTCCGGCTTTCATAGGCTATTGGTGCCAATGTGTCCCATTCTGCCCCCTGAAATAGGGCTGCGCCTAAGCCGTTACCGCTTGCGTCCGTAAAGAGCCATATTGGTTCTTCTGAATCGTAGTCTAGATTTCTGAGCACCGGTAATGTTGTGATGAGCCTCTTGATGTTATTGAACGCTTCCTCTTCCCGCTCGCCCCATTTAAAAGGTTTATTCTTCAGTGTCGTGCTGGTCAAAGGGGTAAGCGTTCCCACATAATGTGATAATCCATTGATGAATTTCTTCATCCACTGTACCGTGCCTAAGAACTTGAGCAATTGCTTGGCGTTGCTAGGAGAGGCCCATTTCGATATTTTCTCTACTTTCTCGTCGTCCGGACAAACCCCCAACTGACTGATTTTGTGACCTAAGAATTGGATTTGACGCCTGAAGAGCTTGCTTTTCTTGATTGAGCAGTATAACTTAGCTTTCCGTAAGCGTTCCAAAACCATTTGAAGGTGTTCCTCGTGCTCCTCAATTGATTGGGAGAAGATGACTATGTCGTCGATGTACACTACGCAAATCCTTCCTACCAAGTCCCCCAGAATCTCCTCGTTACGTGCTTGGTGCGTTGCAGGCCCATTTGTGAGGCCCATAGGCATCACAACCCATTCGTACAAGCCCCAAGGAGTTTTAACTGCAGTCAGTGGGATATCCTCCTCCCGCATTCTATCTTGAAAAAAAGAATTAGTTTGATCTATGACTGACCAAACCTGTCCCGTAGCAACCAGTCGTATGGCTTCGTCTACGTTTGGTAGGGGTGCTTGGTCCTTGACCGTGAATTTGTTGAGTTTTTGATAATCACAAACCCACCGAGGCAATTCTGCAGGGTCTTTTTTAGGAATGATCATCGAAGGCGAGCCGTATTGACTTTGCGATCGTCTAAGCCGTCCTGCTGCTACGTGTTGATCCAGTAGTCTTCTCCAGGCTGCTCGATGTTTCTGGGGGTATCCGAATTGCTTCTCGTTTATAACTACATTAGGGTCAGTTAAGATGATCTTGTGTCGTACTTGTCTCACTTGGTCTGGCATCCCCTCTGGGAATACTTCCGCTTCACACTCACCCTCCTCAACTGGGGGTAGTTCAGCTGGAAACAGGTCTTCGAATTTCTTCAGCATCCTTTCTTCTTTCTCACGCAACTCCTCATTCTCGCTAATCTTTCTCAAATTCTCAACCGCACAAATCAATCTTTGCCTTTCATTTTGCATTTCTTTTTCAAACAAAACCTTGCCGCTTGGCGCATGAACAACACAACGACGATGGAGAGAAACATCTAGCTTGAATTTGGATAGAAACGGTGACCCTAGAATCATGTCATAGCTCGTGCCCAACGGTGCCATCTTGAAGAAAACCGCGCCAAATCGGATACTGGGATGTTCACACTTCAGGTTAGCAAATGCAAACTCCTTCAAGACAACAGGTGCTCCTTCCGTGGCGATGGCTAGGCGTACCTTGACTGGGGACACCAGTGGCCTTCGAGGAATCCTTAGCTTAGTTGCCATTTGCTCGGATAGTAGGTCCGCTCCTGCTCCAGAATCAATGAGAGCACGGATTGGTTTCCCATTGCACGTCAGCTCCAAAATGATTGGTGCCGTAGGTGTTGAAGGTACGCACCCAGGTTCAGCGCTCCCCATCTCTTCGATCTGAGTAGCTCTGAATTGATCTGCTTCTTTGTACGCAGCCACATCTTCCGCTAATAAGTCTGGGAATGTGTCAAAGGCTGCTACACGTGCTGAGATTGGTGTGCTGGGAGGTCGTCCTGCTGGCCTTTGGGTGGGTGCGCCAGGTTGGTTAGGTCTTGTGGTCGTGGTCGAACGAGAAGGTCGAGGTCCCGGGTCGAAATTAGACGGTACTGACAAAAACCGGTTGTTCTTCTTGACACAACCAGGATTGTTGCATCGCTCTTTGCAAACCGCACATATACCATGTCTTCGTAGGTATTCATGGTAGCGCCACCCGTTGTCGGCACGCTCCTCGTCACTTCTGGTTCAGACTGGGGTTGGTGCGCGGTTGTTGGTGATAGGCGAACTTGATGCCGGTTGCTTGTGCTTTGTCATTGGGTCGGGTAGCAGCTTGCTGTTGATCAGGAATCGCCAGATTCCCTCCGCGGCGTCTTTGAACACGGGGAAGGAGAAAGGTTTCACATCCAGATGCCGTTCCCGTTCCACCATGTCTTTGAAGAGTTGAGGCGCTCCCCAAGTAATGTATTGCGCTAAATGCATGTCATTGATAACACCGAGACGTTTCACCAATCGGTGCAGGCCTTGAGCTCTTTTCACATAGTTCTCGAAGGATTCTGCTGGTTTCATTTCCAGTCTTCGTAAGGCCTGTTTGGTGTCGCTGAACCACGTGTGAGGTAGCGTCCCCATAGCAATCATTTCCATAGCTTCCGTCCACGATTTTTGACGCAACTCTTCTTTGTTTGACTGGTACCAACTGGCCATTTCCTCATCATTCAAGATCGATCCTAATAGCTTTAGTTTTTCCCAATCATCCGTGATGTTTTTAACTTCAAAGGTCTCTTCGATCAATGATTGCCAGTGAAATAAATCACCGGGTCGCCCGAATTTACCAGTGAACTTAGGTAAATCACTTAATTTGACTCGATCAGCAGTAGTTGAAGTTGCCGCACTGGCTTCGGGTACCGTCGGTAATCCAGGTCAATAGGATTGAAATGATCAATCCACATAAGTCGTGTCAGGGGCCACAGGTTGGTACGTTGGAGTAGTAATTGGCTGGAAGTGCGGAGATGGGAGTGGAGATTGCGCTGGGTGTCAATGCGATGGTTCACTTCCCATAGGCAAGGATTGGCGTGATCGTGTACCTGCCTCAGGCTCCACCCAGCTCACATGCTGCTCCTCCGTCGTCAAAGGTGGTGGTCGCTGCTCCGTTTTGGCTGTTACTGCCTCCCTTGGGGTGGATTGTAACAGTCCCCTCTCCCTAACTGCCAGTCCTGAGTCTCGCAATCCAGAGTCTCGCGGTGGAGGTGGAGGTGTTAACGGCGTAGCCCCGACATATCGGTTGAAAGGATTGGCGTGCGCGTCCTGACTTTGACTTGGCGTTGCTCCAGATTCCTCACTTAGCAAATCTCTAACCATCTTCTGAAGCGCTACGGTTTCGGCGGTAGCACGCGCGGCGGATTCAGCATGTGATTGTGCTAATGTTTTGTTTTGTAGCTTCAAGCGCTCCACCTCAACTCGTAAGCTTTCGATTGATTCGTTATCTTGCGACATCGTGTTGATTGGCGTGAAAGACAGGGTGCTGGAAGGAGGTGGTGCCTTCGGCGTGTCGGTAGAGAAGTAACCAGGAGGGTGAGGTGTTTCCGCCCCTAGTTGAGTGCCTTGTTGGCCTAGCAGTTTGTTGAAATGTAAATCAATGATTGTTTTCTCAGGTGCCAATGGTGAAACTGCAACCGGGGAGAATTTTAATTTTGAGGATGACGAGGTGCTGGGTGCTAGTTTGAAATTCGATGCGTATACGATACGGTCTGTCTCCACTGGTGAACCGGAAACGGTAGCTTCTGGCCGCCAATTATAGTTGATCGGTGGTGCTGCTGGGGATGACTGATCGCTTTCTTTCCGTTTCTCCTTACGAGCTTGCTTCAAGAGTAATTCTGGGTTGTCAAGGTAGTTGTCCGGATTCAGGGAATGCCCACCACTCATTCGGTACGTGATCTGGTGACTGGATTGACAGAGTTTGATACAAGAAAAGGATTGACAGGTATGACTGAATTGCTGATCATGATTACCCCACAACCCGCTAGACTGATGACAGATGACAGAGAGAGAGAAGAAAAAAAACTTGGCGATGAAAATCCAGTGGTGATTTGTTTTCGAAGTAATTAACTTAAAAAAAGTGTAAGGTCCTTTGAAGACCTTCACCAAGGTGGTGGATTCTCTCTGACAAGACTCTTTTGAGAGCGCTAAGTTAGGACTTCGGTTTGTATTACGAACTAGGCCTAGCTCCAAATGATCCCAGGAGTGGCAACCATCAAAGAAGAAAACCCGTAAAAGATAAAGAAACTCACCTAGCTCCAAATGATCCCAGGAGTGGCTCTCAGAAGAGTAAGGATCATCCGGAGCCAGTGTGGAAGAGGAATGTATACAACGTGTCTATCTAAACCCATTAACTAAACCCATTAACTAAACCCATACTGTGATGACTCTACATGTCTATGTGTATCCTTACACCAACTCCGTCGCAAAGATATTGTACATGGTTTGCCGACAGAGCATGAAACGGGATATACATCCACAAACACCTTGCTAAATGCTCCATTCTGGATGCTTGATTCACGGAATGTATCGACGATGGGTTCCGAATTTACACGCATTGCTACAAGCAATTGAACGTCATAACCATGCTACTGGCGACAAATAGTCATGATCTACTTGAAAAACGAAGTATAGTCCTTATCGAGAGCCATCCCAATGCCAAAGGACTGATAGCAACTAAATTAGCCGTGGGGCAAATACACAAGATAAGTAAGCTTTCATCCCATTCCAGGAGCTCATTCCCAGAAATCCAATTACCCGTTACATGTCGTTTCATATTACTCTACACTGGTGCAAATCAAGATGTCTCCAAATAATTTATTGCCCCAGGCCGTAGTATGCAGCACCAAGCTACCAGTGGAAGTCATTGAGTTAATCATCGAAAACTACATCAGCGACACAGGAGTTGTGGAACCAAACCCCTTAAATAGTGCCAGCAGATCATATTTACATCCCGAAACTTCACGACGCTTACTGTCCTTACGTTTGTTGTCTAAATCCTGGAACGCAGCCGCTGTACCTTTCATATATAACGCTTTATATTTGAACACGCCAAGAAAGTCTAGCATTCTATTGAGATCGTGGAACAACCCATCCCAGTTCAGTACTTTCCACGCTTTACGGCGCATTTGTTTTAGCGGCCTTTTGTTTCTATCCAACTATCCCACCGGTCGTTCGCTGAACAACCCCTCCACTTACGAGAATGGCAATGCTCATTCTGCGGAAACCTTGCTCGCTCCTTCGGAAATTGCAATGGATTCGGCATTGAAAATAATTAACCTATGTAGTCAAAACCTATCAGATTTGAAGCTTAAGTTTGTACACTCAATTGGTCTCTCCCAAGATATGTTAGAGGCCATTAGCAATGTTAAAGGTCTCAAGGTACTAGGAATTGTTGGTAGCAAATGCTGTCACACGCTTAATGATTCAGGCTCTATAAGAGCTATGCTTAACTCGGCTTTTGCATTGGAATCACTATCAATCCAGTGCAGTTCACTCGGATCCTTAAACTTGAACGTTGGAGCTCTGCCGAATCTGACTCATCTTTGCTTGGTGACTAACTCGGACAACATTTTAGATTTCATTGAGTTATGCACCGCAGAAGGCAGGAAAATTTGGTTCCTCGAACTCATAAGCCCTGGAGCTTGCGATCAATGTCACCCGATCATAATGGCCTTAAAGGGATCACTTCAAGCCGTTTTCATTGATCCTATCCCGGCTCGAATCCCTCGAGCTGTTATCAACTTAACTTTTGAAAATCTCCGGGTAGTGCGTTGCATGACATGTGATTTGTCGCTGTCCGGATACGCCTGGTTACAAAAGCCGATCTTCAAGAACATGGAGGTGCTAATCACTAGCTACTGGCACGCAAATGCATATTGGAAACGGCTCTTAGAATTATTTCAACATCGCCCAATCACATTACCACCAAAATTCAAGCAGATCTTCCTCATAAATTCGAAAGGTCAAGAGTTGCAAGATCATGGAATGGTTGAAGCATTCAAGACCCAAGGTGTCAAGTGTATCTTTGCTTACCACTTATCTTACAAACAGGTCATAGTGCGTGCAACTTTAAGGCCTGGAATCAGTTATTGGAGACTAATTACTCATTAGATTGCTCTTTCAATATAGGACTTGGCAAATGGGATTGGAGAGCGTGTTGAGGGGGATGTGGGGATTGGGTCATCCTCTAGGAGTGTTAGGGTACGCAAAGGATTCAGTTTATCCTGTTGGTCATTGTTTAACTAATAGTTACGTGGTTTGTTCATTAGATGAACTCGGTGGATTCCGCTGAAGAGGTTTGGAATAAAATTGGAGGCACAGGTCGACTCATAGCGCAAGCACAGTAGATAAAACTTTGGAACTAAATGTCCAACACCTGAGAGACTGACGATTGGATGTTTGTCGATTGAACACAGAGCGCAAGAGTTCAAATGAGGAACGTTACAAATCCGGGTACCAATAGCAAGGCAGACCTATGTCAACAGCTGTTACAACATAGCCTTTAAATGCTGTACCATGATAAACAACGTTTGAGAAAATCTTTGTCTGAGTTTACCGCCGGATCGCGGGCGCAATCTTAGCGGTAACGCTATCTGTAAAATATTGTTTGAATGAACATCGCGATAGGCAAAAGTGTATATCGAGCGTAAGAAGCTAGAGCTAAGTAACAGATGCCGATACCTCCTGCTCATATGCTCAAAATCGTGGTTGAAAAGATAACTTGACGTCAAACAGTTTCTGACTGATTCAGATCAAATTAAGATATCATATATCCTAAAGGTTGCTTTGATTATGAACTTTGTTCATGTTTGATTTTTTCTTGCAAGAAAACCTTTGAGATCGAAGAGTTCAACATCGTCCACATCTACACCATCATAAGTTATAACAAACAACATGCCTACCCAATCGAAGTACGCGCAACCGAAAGACAACTCCTCGTGGTTTGACCGCCTATCGCCACGCGATCAATCTGAACATTGGCCATTAAAAATTGGCCCGATGGCGCACCCGCTAATTCATGCTGGGTACGACCAGTGTTTCGATTGCGGCAAGTTTGGGCATCGTCGAGACCGTGGTGCTGGCTGCACTAGCAAAGTCAAAAAAGCCCCGCCTTTTGGGACTTGGCGACGAGTCACTACGGGCAAGACTTACAGCATGAACATGCTTGAGATGTTGCCCCAAAACTTGGAGAAAGCACAAGCCGAAGTAATAGCAATGGAAGAAATTCCGGGTAAGCTGTATCATTGCGTGGGAGTAGATATTATAAACTAACGCAAACGGCATATGACGGCAGAGTACGTCGCCACCGATTTCGACGTTTTGACTCCTTGGGTCTTCACGGAACAAGACATGGCCAACCTCGAAGCCACAGAATCTTTTGGTGTGTAGTTCGTTTGTAGGCTTGAGTTAACACTCATCGACTGAGCACTTTTCTCTTGCATGCTTAGCAACTAAAAATACCCAATCGGCCAACCGCAGCCACGCAGATCAAACAGCAGGGACCACGCTAAGCGAACCAAAGCAAAGCACATCCAAGGGGAACCCTCGAGGAGAGTAGCTCCGACCTCTCGAACGCCTCGGGTCAAAGGAAAGTGTCAGGTAAGCTTGAGTTTTTGAATCGCATGACAACACTTTGAGCTGAACTTTATCCTTCTTGCAGCTCAAATGTGAAGTAGGATCAACGCTAACCCGGGGTGAATTGATTTGGTGGTTCAAGGCAAAGATTTCGAGTCATTGCCAAAGGCGTTCAACTTTAAAGCACACAGAGTCAATTTCGGTATACTATATTCATTTGAGACACAATGATAGGTGCCAAACGTGTTTGATATCATCCTGTAAAATCTGTGCGTTGTCTATGCCATAAATTTTGCAAACAGTGCACAATTAGTTCATCGGAAGAAGCGTTGATTACTTGGGATGAAAGACTTGCAAACTTTCAAACTTGATGTCTGTATCAAACTAGACCGCAGAGATTATATGCAACATTTTGGATTGTCAACATGATCAGTGTAGAAATTGAGCTGCAATGCTGTAAATATTGCGAAATAGCAAGGTCGCATCGCAAACAAAGTAAAAAAGCAACAGCAATGCAATGTGGTTCATCAAGCCAAACACCCTATAGAAAATTGCTAACGGGCACGGCCCAAGAAATTGAACCTTTTAACAGAAAAGCCTGCTCTGACCCTCCAACAGATAATCAATAATAGTGAACATGGAATGCTTGTGTCCTGCGTGAATTCCTGTGTATTAAAGGCCCTGGCTTAGTTCGCTAGGTGCACGCGCTGCTTTATAGCCGTGATCACTCATTGCAATTAGAGTCTATACGCTTACTTATCGTCGGGTTTATGATTGCTCCTGTTATGACATAATAACTCAGGGGGTATCGCGGATTCGAAAAGTTTTGAATACGCAGCCAGCCTTGAACCGATGAGGTGATTTGCGCTTGGCATTGTATGTGGATACACTGGGCTCAAGCAATACAAGAACAGAGAATCCCAACACTTCTTGAATCGATCAAACAAATAGCTCGCTATTGAAATAGGTCGTCCATTAGCTTAATATCCAATTCCTAATTGCTCATTTTATCCCATGGTACTTCAAAGGGTGATGGTATTGAAGGGATTCCATGGAGTACGCGGCCAACGTCAAATGAAATGAGGGAACTCGCGCTCAACGCGAAGCGACAGCGACACAGTGTCATGAATATGAAAGGACACGATTCACAGCGCATCTAGGCAGTTGAATCAAAGGAAGATAGTGGATATACCCAAATATACTACAAACTTGGGGGTTGTATATATATATAACAGCCAGGGTACAATGCTACCGAAACAGTGAAATCAAATAACGGTCAAGCGGACACCTAAAATCCAATATGGCCGACACTCATCGCTTTCCTTTTGAAGTGGTTGATTTGATTTTATTTTACTTCGCTAGAGATTTTGAAAAGGCCTGGACCAATTCTAGGAATAGTGCCGAACAGCCTCCTTTACCAGACCATGGCGTATTAGAACTCTTAAACTTAAGATTGGTCGGGAAATCCTGGGTGTTGGCAGTCTTGTCACATGCTTATCAAAACTTACACTTTAGCTCAGCATTGGTAGTGAACCGCTTCGTTGATACTTGGAATAGTTCAGCAACAGTCACAACTATGGCTTGGTTAAGCCACCTTAGCTTCGATCAAATCACTTGCCCGGATTTGGATTTTGAACTCGGATCAAATCAAGCTAAGATAGGTTCACTTGGAACTTACCGAATCGATTTCGAAAAGGAAAACTTCAACTATAAATCAATTATATTAGAGGACATCGAAGAAATTATCAAGTTTTGTGGTCAAACCTTGTCAGGCTTAAAATTCGCGTTTAAGGCAGGTGCTGGATTTACACCCGAAATGATTAAATTAATAAAAGATATTAAAGGTCTAAAAGTGTTGATCGTCGAGGCGAATCCCTACGGAGTCAAGAAGAATCACTCGAAGTCAATCGAAGCTTTACTCAACGTTACGCCTGGCCTTGAATCATTATCACTCGACATTGGATGTATTCAACCACTGGACTTAGATCAAGGCGCACTACCTGGCTTGAAGCACTTATCGGCCGCGTGCGATACAAACGACCAGGAGGCCATTACGGAACTTTGCAAAAGTCATGGTCAAAATATCAGTTGCTTGGAATATCTTGCGCATCCGGATTGCGACCGAGCTGCGGAGGTGATCTCGGCTTTGCGTAATTCACTCAAGGTCTTGTTCGTAGAGTCCATTCCTGATGTGCTTCCGGCCGAAGTAAGCGATTCAATTTTCCCGAAATTGAAAGTTATACGGAGTCTTGTCTCGACAGTAGAAAGTCCCAGTCTGGCTTGGTTGCAATTGGAGATTGTAAGGAACATGAAAACCTATGTGACGGACTATTGGTGTTCCAAAAAATATTGGCGAAATGGCTTGAAGGCGCTTAAAGGGAAGACGCTCAAAAAACCTGCCAACTTTGACAAGATCATTTTTATCACGGGAAAAGAGGCGGACTTGGAGGAAAACAACACTACACCAAATGTAATCTTTACCGGGCGGTAAAGAAAACTACTGCCATAGAAAAGTCCTGAGGCAACAGGAAGAGAGCTAAAAATCTGAAAAAATATGCACCTTGTTCCTAGGTGTTGGGGCGTCATGATGAGTATTTTTTTGTATTTTACACACAGATATTGGTTTATGTACTAACAATAAACACTGAAAATCATCAAAAACTCACCTGTAACAATACCTGAAATTTGGGTCATGAGTATGAAGACAATATTTTGTGGTCTAAAAACTTCAATAACTTTCGCAATTCTGCTCCAAATAACCCAATTTTTGGTTCATTCAAAAGCTGAACTATTCTCCTTCACACTTTATAATGGTAGTAAGGTGCTATCTAGTCATTTAAACACTCTACATATGTTCAAACAGTTCTGCATGAATAGCTCTGTAGGATCTTTTTTAGACCAGCTACAGATGTGATGTCTCAATGAAAAATGTAGAGGAAAGGCTCACCTTTTTAATGCACTCCAAATCACGTGATTTGATTCAGAACTGCAAAACTTATTGATGTTTGAAGATTCTAAAATCCTGTCTTCAAAGTCAAGGGCCAAATTTCAGGTATTGTTACAGGTGGGTTTTTGATGATTCTCAGCCTTTATTGTTAGTACATTAACCAATATCTGTGTGTAAAATACAAAAAAATACTCGTCATGACGCCCCAACATCTAGGAACAAGGTGCATATTTTTTCAGATTTTTAGCTCTCTTCCTGCTGCCTCAGGACTTTTCTATGGCAGTAGTTTTCTTTACCGCCTGGTAAAGATGACATTTTGTGTAGTGCAAGGAGCTAAAGAAGATTTTTCAGCGGCATCAAATCGAGTGCCACTTCGTAGAGCAATTAGATTATGCTGATTTGGAGGTGAGTGGTTTCAGAGTTGATGAAAGGTAATAGTGCTATTGCTGACTGCTAAACATGAATCATGGAAGGCTTTAACAAACGAAGGTAGCGTCTAATTCGATCGCGTGCGAATTATGCTGATTGCAAGGTGAGGAGTTTCAAAGTAAGGAAAATGGAATGTTGCTTGTGCTGACTAAGCAACATGAAGAATGGCAGGCTTTAGCGGACAAAGTTAGCGTTCGAGCCAATCAAGTGGAGGAACTGATGGACATCAAGTATCATGGGATTAAACTGAAGCGCATGGAAAGGGCGGAAAAGATCATGCTTTGTTTGCGCGTTGTTCTTGTGCAATTAACCAGAGGTGGCTGCCGAGAAGGTGATCCTTGAGCTTTGTAGAAGAAAGCCCACCTGCAAATAGATTGATACGAATAATTTCAATGCTTAATTAAATTTCAGGCTTACTGTTGATCCGTTTGATCTACGGACGTGCTTGAATTCTACACTGAAATCATATGTAAAAGTGTGGCTTAAAAAATTGTCCCGAGAAGAATTGATTCATTCATAACCATTGGTTTATAGCGTAGACAACCCAGAGGCAAGGTGGTTTTAACTTGATGCTTGCTCTCCAGGGCAAAATGGGTTGTGGCAACATCAGTGTCCTTACCACAACCATCACCTGTACAAGTTTATGCTTCTCAACTTTGAGAACTTCATCCAAAAATAGTGCATGGGTTGAACGTGGGGTATGCTCATGTGTGACTGATCAAAGGGTACATTGTGCGTGGGTTTGAGGCGGTGCCCGCCGCTGAGAATGCTAGTTATACATTACTGTAGATCCCTGTAATGTATCTTACCTTTGCCACTTCATATACTCACCATCAGCAATCCATCCATCCACTGAACTTAACAACTTCTTGCTACACACCCTGATCCTTCAACATTATGCCAACACCTCTTGGGTCTCATGCCACTGGCCTAGGACGAGATCACATCCTGTGCGCATGTCCTCAACTAGGATGCTCACAACAGACTATAGAGTTCACACTACCCGAAAAGTAACATATTCCGGGCGGATCAGGTCAGGACCTGAATATACATATGTGTCTGTCACAGATTAGGTAAATCCCTTTCGATACTTTTTTTTTGTTCTCGCTATGTTTGGTATCCCTTCATTATACCCTGAAACTCACGCTTCCTGACTGAGCATATAAGGAGGTTCAAAGACATTCTGTAATGGTGGAGATAAGAAAGGAGAAATGAAATTTATCGCATGCTTATCTCATATTCTTTGTGTTGAGATTCTACAGAATCAAATTTATTATGTACCTACTTGCACGCACTCACAAAATCTAATGAATTCTTAATTTTGTATACTTGAACTATTCATTCCACTCACCTGCAAGTTGATAACATGCGACCAAAGTTGGTAACCAAAATGCCCTTTGAGATCGCTGATATGTCAATCATTACGATATTGTGCTTTCAATTGCCAGACCCTCGATTTATAACCCTTTCAAAGGCGACTTGTATCTTCATATCTTGATCACTTCGACAACATATAATCAATCAGCTCAATCTTTCCACCAATTGATAACCCCGGGCCGTAGCTTATCACTTCAATCAATCTTGATCGCGATATCTGATTTCAATACTGTATGTTGGAGGTTTCTCTCAAGCAACACGCTCTTCACTTCATCCTCACAATTTCCGTTTTTGCTTCGAATTATATCAACATGGATACCATTGAATTTCTGACACGCATGGTCTCATTTCTATAGGCTGAGCTCAATATCAACACCTGATCATGACGAAGGGAAAGAAGACCAAGAGTCAACCCAACTCGGCTAAAACCTCCGGTGCCGATAATCCAACCGTAGCAGCCTCCGACCCTCACAAAATTCCACCACAAACGTCATTTCCAAACTTAACTCAAATGCCTAGCGATCAATCGAAGCCTGAATTGACGAACGCTCACTGGTTGAAAGTTCAAACATTAGATGATGACCTCAAGATTGTATTCTTAGTGCCTGGTGTAGACATAACCTCAGCTGGTGTCACTTGCCTCAAGCTCTATCGTATATTAATACACTTCAACCCAAAATCGAGCTCACGTCCAAGTCACCGCAAGGACAAACTATGGGCCGAATTCGCTAAGGACGTTGTACCCATTTTGATGCCTCACATGTTACCTCCACCCCCTGCCCCAATGCAGACTGAGACATCATTTTCCGACTTCAATCCCCTCAGCCGAAAAACCACTCGACCACAGCTTATCAGCGCAGTCCGTACAGTCAATACGATCATCTACATTCCGACCAGTTGTACCCGTGATAGCTTATTAGTCTTATACAAGGCATTTATCGACAAAGATCTTCCACTACCGTGGCTAACTGAATTCATCAAATCACCGAACATTGTGAAACAAGATAGAGTAAAGGATTTATGCATGGAAGAGTTGAGAATGACCTTGCAAGAACATGCGCCACATGTCTTCATTCACCTACCACCAATGAATGTAGGTGTCCTTATCAATCTCTACATCCGATTTGTGCTTGAGGAACCTGTCAACAATGACTTACTTGTGAAAGGATATCACTATTCTCTTTTTCGACGCTCAGCAGATGCTTGACTGTAGGTATGTTGCTTTAATCACCTCAATGTAATTGCAACTGATTTTGACATTTCTGCTTCTCATCCCAAATTGTCTCGCCTTTTTTGTTTTGTTTTTAAGTCTCTAACGTGCCTAGTGTCAACTCAAGCAAAAGACCGATCTTAAACTTTAGAAGGTTTAAGCACATTTCAAATCTCATCTTGATTGTCTTGCCTCTGAAACATGTCAGAAGTCCCGGATATTCCATCATCTTGTAGTTTTAGTTAACTTGTACCTTCATTGTACTCAATTTTCTCCGCTCCCAAAAATTCCCTTTGGTTGTATCCCATCAAAATAAACATACCCTGCTGTGATTGATATTTCTGAAATTACAAAGTTAACTATTTCATCGACTTCATTATAATGCCCCCTTCCCAAAGAAAGTCCGAAACTCATCGTGTCATATGCCGCTGCCAAAGTCATGAATGCTACCGTGGCCGTATTCTTGATGCGTACGGAAAACCCCAACCTGGAGTCGAGGTGAACCGTGCAACTTTTGCCGCTCATCAACTTTCGGATCAAAAAAGCAAAGCAACTCAAGGTCATCCCCGACCAACCGAAGATGCTCAAGTGACACTTTCACAGTCTTTTAGACAACTAGGGCTCAATGCATCCCAGTCTTCCCCCTCAGGATCCGGAAATCAATTGCCTGAAAGCCATAACCATCGTTCCGAGCCACAGACTGAAGATATTAGCACTATCGAACCAGAGAGTACAGTCGATTCAGGCTCTACTAAGATCTGCTCTTTAGCAGATGGTTTGAAAGACGCTGGCGTCATTGTGTACGATTGCAGTAAGACCTTTCAAGTTTTGAAATATGGCTTGTATGCGATTGGTTATGATCAAAGCTGATACAAAAATGGAATAGATCGTTTTCACAGCTTTACCTTGAACCAGATCAATCCTCTATTACTTCATGTAATCATCATCGCGGCAATGTTGAACATCTTTGGACACATATCAATATCAACTACATCGTGGCTCTTGGATTGTCTTAAAATAATGATCGAGCTATGTGTAACTCATGGTCTCAATTCCCTACACCGGCCCACTTCGCTTTCAGCAGTGGACTCTTCAATACTCAGTCGAATACCCAAGACTATCACCACAATCAATCGATGGCTAAATCTCGAGCCAGAATTGATTGAGATGAACTGCTGTCTCTCCTGCTTTGCGTTATACCCACTCGACAAAACACCAGCATATTGCAATTACCAGGTAAATAAAATCCCCGGTGGAATCTCGAACTCCATAGACTTGAATACAAAGGACGAAGTCTCACCTCATGATGACGAGCTTGATCTGTCCGACTGTATTGAGGAGACATGCGGCCAGCTTCTTTTAAAGTACGTGCGCGGAAAAGAAAAACCCGTTCGACGATATGCAATACAGAGCTTCTCAGAATGGATCGCATGCTTATTGTCTCGTCCAGAAGTGGAAGTCTGGTTAGATGAAGCCCTCGAGGAATCTTGTAAACCTTATAACCCAGAACACGAGGTCCATGATATCCATCAGTCCAAAATTTGGAAGGAATTTAAAGGTCTTGATGGCAATCAATTCACAGCATCTACAGGTAATCTTACCTTTGCGATGTTTGTTGACGGTATCAACCCATATGGAAACAAAATAAGTGGTCGACATACTTCAATCACCTTTGTAGTACTGGTGTGCCTCACCCTTCCAATCAGCAAGAGATATCTACCCGAGAATATATTTCTAGTGGGAATTGCACCCGGTCCACGTGAACCTTCACTCGAACAAACAAACTGGATATTACGTCCAATTGTTTTGGAGCTTCAAGTCCTATGGAATCCTGGCATGATCCTATCGCGTACTCATTCATACAAGAATGGACGTGTGATAAAGGCGGCATTACTCATATTTATAGCAGATATACCTGCTCTGAGGCGCTGCTTGGGATTTCCAAGTGCCACATCTACTAACTTCTGCTCAATATGTCATCTCACCAAGAACAACATTAACAATATAGACCCGAGTAAATGGCCGCCTCGCACTTGCAATCATCACAGGATGTGGGCTAATCGAGCACGCGATGCTAAGACTTACGAGGAGCGGAAGGATATTTTCAAAGAGCAGGGCATACGTTACTCAGTTCTTCTTGAGCTAGAATATTGGAACATAATTGACTACCAGGTCATAGACTCAATGCACAATTTATTACTTGGACTAATTGCATGGCATATTCGCCGATTTTGGGCAATGAAGGATGAAGAAAGTGAAGAAGCAAAATTACCTCCAATAACCAATGTTGAGCTCTTAAATCTTGTGTTGGAATCTGCTCAGCCTCCAAATTTAAATCAAGATACAGATAACAGGTCTGAATTTGACGAGAATCTTAGAGCTGACGGTGATGATATCAATGATAGATCCTTTGATAATGATACATCTACAAGTGATGATGATTTTGATCCGCTTGGCATGTCTGGTTGGAATGAAAATTGGGAGGCTCCCCCACTGGATGATATAATAATTGATAGCACTGTCTTAAAATTCATCAACTCTTTACTTCCTCGTGTCAATATTCCTACTTGGGTCAAAAGAGCTATTCCAGTTTTAGGTAAAGCCTCATACGGGAAACTCAAGGCGGATGAATGGCGGAATCTCTGCACAATTCAGCTACCTCTGATCTTAATCCCATTTTGGAGTGGCCATGATAATATCCAGACTTCACTTCTACAAAACTTCTTACATCTTGTCTCGCTGGTCAACCTTGCTCTCAAGCGGGTCATGAAGCTCGAACACATTGATCAATATCGTTATCATATTCAACAATACCTCAAAAGTTCTATCATATTATTCGAGCATTGTGGACTTGCGCCAAATCATCACCTCGCTGTGCACTTAGCAGATTGTTTAGAAAAGTTTGGTCCAGTGCGTGCTTGGTGGTCTTTCCCCTTTGAACGCTTAATGGGGAATATACTCAAAGGGTGTCACAATAATCATATAGGTAGCTATTTTCATTAACAAGTTTATTTTTTCATGATCAAAAGCTTACATGATTGTTATCTGATTAAATTTGAAGGTGAACTGGAGATTACGTTCCTCAAAAATTTCTCTCGCGCTGGCAATCTATCTGCTCTTCTCAAGGACAATAAGCTTCCAAAACAACTCAAGCCATATATAAACAAGATGCAATCCCTTTACAAACCTTTGATCCCAATTCCAAAGAGGCTTTCCAACTCAACCTTGGAGCCTATTGACAACAAAATACTTCAAATGTTGGTCCAACGTCTGAACAATCTTGAAAGTTGTGAAGACGTCAAATGGATAGTTCCGGATCAGATGTTTTCAACCACACCCAGTGATCACAAACAGAAGATCAAATATGTTCAACCTCGTGCTATGTTTTACAAGCAGATCTTGCATCAGGGGGTCTACTTCTCACAATTCTCGGCCAGTCGATCCAACAGTTTTGTTGCTTTTAAGCTGGATGGTGCAAAAGATTTAAAATTTGGGCGCATATCATCCATTTTTATTCACCGGAGAGAGCCAAAAAAATCACAAAACGTATTTGATACATGGTTGGTTGTACAGAAATTTCCAAGACTTTCAAATGACCTGCAGAAATTTGATCCATACAACAAGGCTTCAGGTATGCATGTTCAAACCCACTTGCGTGCTTGGGGACCTACAAAAGAATACCTTGTGAAACTTGAAGAAATTACATCACACTGTTCCTGGTTGATGTACAAGCCAGGAGAGATCAACGATATGTTGAAGGTAGCAACCGTGGCTCTTTTAACTATGGATCGATAGTTTCACGGATGTAAAGCTATGAATTTCATTCCGCTTCTTGTACATAAACTATCCTACAATAAAGCTTGTTGACTAAATGAATGTCAGAAATCTAGATGCATTACAATTCGAGAAGCTTTTCCAACTTGAGTTTTATGCTTGGCAAAATTGGAAGAGGGTTGATCTCCAAGGCGAGTTTCTCCATTGGGCTCAACTTATCTACCCATGACTGTAAAAAGCAGTCTTTTGATAAGCCCCCCGGTGGGTTTATCGAGCTGAAAACAGGATTTCTTCCGCGAAGGCGAGGTCGACGAGCACGTCCTGGAGAGCCACTACTGTTGCTACCTGGGAGGCTTTTCTCAAACCTTTCTTTCACCTGATCAACTAGAATCCAGATCTCTTCGAGCTCGGAACTGCGCCAGGGCAGTTTTCGTACGAGACAGGGTAGCTTGATCCTTTTAGGCGTACTGTTTGTCAATTCGGATTCAGGGTCCGTTTCGTCATCACTACAGGTAGTTCCTACAAGTGCCAAAAGGGGAAAGATCTCTTCTTGTACCAGGATCTTTGTCCGTAATGTTATAAGCTGAGATCGTAGATCAAGTTGTTTGTCAATAAATGAACCTCATCACATTCTTGAGAATCTCAGAACTCACAGTATCTCTTCTTGAATTCCGTCTGGTCTTCTCAGCAATACTAACCTTCCTGTCATGAGGCCAAGACCTTTGGCGAAATCTGTGGGAAGCCATTGGACACACACTGTCAAAGACTGTTCAGATGAATGTCAAAAATGATGAGATAACAACCTTTTCATCAAGGATTGAATGTGTGAATCAAAACACTTTTTGATGTAGTCACGATTGTCCGCATCGAGTAAGATTCCGGTGTACTCGCCCACCTCAACCAGTTTCAGAAAAATCTTGAATGCAATATCCCATAACCACCGATTCTCAGATGATGTTGGTGCTTGTCCCAGGTCAGGACGAAAACTTGATATTCCAGCAGCTTTCAGCATCTGGCGCATGATAGATAGCTGTTGAGATGACGCATCCGGGTGTCCAGGTCCGTCCTCATTGTCATCGCTATGAAAGGTTGGATCAATTTCTATTGAACCAATGTCCCGCTCGTAATCCCAGGCTTCCTTTTCCGAAGAGGTGGCTGGAGGTGGGATAACATCAAGTTTTTGGCCAAAAAGAGTTTCAACATGAAACCGGATTCGAGCCTAAAGATACGTAAATATTAGCAAGATCTCATGATCAGACTTTATCAAACCCAAGTCAAAGATACGCACAGAAGTTCTACCACCTCGAATTTTGCTATCTTTAGATCGATTTTTTGTGCCATCACAAACCTGTCTTTTGAGAACATCGGCCAGCGTGTTCAATTCCTCGGTAAGATCTTCAATTCTAACATTTGCTTTCGATAACAAATCAGTCAATTTAATGATATTTTGTGTATTCTGTTCAACAGTCCTTTTTAACTTCAAATAAAGGTCGGCCTGGGGATCAATATTGGAGGATTGCTTGTCGAACCGAACACTTTCAACTTCAGAATCTTCTCCGACCTCTTCTTCCAAGATTGAAGTAGGTTGAAAAGCTGATGTCGACTTTGATTTATTGGTCTTGTTTTCAGACGACTTATCCATCGGTTCTGGAGAATTAGGCAGTTCGTTTGAATTTGATCTGTCCATGTTTTTGTCTTCAGTCTCAATGTCTTTCCCGTTTTCGTTTTCGGGAATCCAATCGCTCTCTGATTCTTCAACTAACTTTTGCTTTCCCTTCCCTTTTCTGTTTAGTGATGATTCTTGTGGAAACAGCTGTGTTGGAGGAGGCCGGGGAAATCTCAACGTCCCACGCTTGATGCTTGGAAGAGTTGATGTCGATGCTATTATTGGGTTCGCCTTGGGTTTACTGACATGGAAATCAAATTGATATCCAGGCGAAGAATCGATGTCATCATGGGTGGACTCTAAATTGAATTGATATCCAGGCGAAACAGCGATCTCGTTATGGGTAGACTCTGCTATGATAGCATGTGTATTGGGCAAAGCTGAAGGTGGTAAGACTACAATCAAAGCCAATCAGCAAAAGTATGAAATCGAAACGCTTGGATCATGAACTTTCTGTAGGGCTTACGCAGATCTTCATAATATTTGCAGTTCTGAATCAGGATTTCTCGGTCTTTCCCTGCCATATCAAGCCCAACGTCTCTAAGCATAGCCACGAGTTCCTCATTCCTATAGCGGCTGAACCCGTCAGCGTCAACACCCGAGGATGTGTCGAATTTCTTGAGTCCTGCTTGTTTGGAATTGGTCGCTTCATTGTGAATCTTCTTCTTCGTTTCCCGTTTTGGACGTTTTGGTAAGGTTCTGTTCGGCAGGCGAGTTCTTTTTGTTGTTACCTGCTGATCAAGAAGGCCTAATAACTCATCACGATTGACCTTGTCGCCCAATCGTAATTTAATCGAACGTGGTTCTTTTGGTCTATCCAGCTGTTCTGAACCGCGCAAAACTTGATATATTGATTGAACATAGACGAAACCACCAATCAGATTTCAGAGTTTTGGACATGGATTTTCAATTGAAAACTAACAATCTTGAACACTAGAAGAACTGGGCTTTCGTTTTCTCGAAGTTTTTTTTGCACTTTGTTCGCTGTTGACAGTACTGGTCTCCTGAGCTTGGTCGTGGGGTTGGTCGTGGGTTTGAGATCTGAGAGCAGATGAGCGAGTACGTAGTTTACGGACATTGGATTCTGGATCAGGGTTATGTGACATTGAAACAAGGAAGGAGTGAAATACTATCTATCAAAAATGGTATTTAACATCTAATTAAATTGATAAACGAAGTAAGTGATTGTTTTATCTTGATGGTCTTTGAAAGTCGACATTGAATATTCTCTAATGTATGTCTGCGTAAGGTGGCCATAAAAAACATGATCCTTTGTTGAACAACTTGGTCGTATAGATGAGGTATAGGTAAAAGATTCCTTTGACTTGTTTCCATGGCCGCTTTGTTTGACAATGGTATGGTGAGTGAACACTGCGCCAAATTGCAAATTTACCGTGGAGTTTAGAAAATTGAGTAGACATAGAAAATTATAGCGAAGCTGGCAAGGGTCAGAAAAATATGAAAAAATAATGGGAGGGCCCTTTGATGCATTCCGATTGTCTGGCATATTTTTTCATATTTTTAAAACCACAATGCATATAACACTACACAAAATATAATATCTTCTGGGCAGAAAATATAAAAACCAACAAACAGTGATATTGAGCAGTCTTGGAGAGAGACAAAAATACACAAAAATATGCATATTGTTCCTATGGCTGAGACCTTGGATTTGAGTATTTTTTTGTTTTTTTAGTGTGCATGTTGTTGATTGTACTAACAAAAGACCTACAAGTTTCTCAGATTACAACCTGTAACACAGATTGGAATTTTGCCAAGGGGTGACAAGGGGATATCTGGAATTCTATATCCCTCATATATTTTGCAATTCTGGGTCAAAACACTTGATAGTTAGCTGATTAGGAAGCCATGAAATGCATTTGAATTTCATGTTAATGCAACAAATCTGTAGCTCCGCTACAAAAGAGCCTATTTGTCTCCAAAACAATTTCCTATATAGCCACATAGATATTCTTTGGGATTAGATGCAGGTTTTTTGTCTCAATGAAAGATATAGTCACAGAGTTTGGCTTTCCAATGAACAAAAAATCAAGTGGTTTGACCAAGAATTGACAAAGATATAAGGGATTGTTGAATTCAAATTATGCCCTCCAATGTCTGTTACAGGTTGTAATCTAACAATCCTGGAGGTTTTTTGTTAGTACAATCAACAATTCTCACACTAAAGAAACAAAAAAATACTCAAATCCAAGGTCTCAGCCATAGGAACAATATGCATATTTTTGTGTATTTTTGTCTCTCTCCAAGACTGCTCAATATCACTGTTTGTTGGTTTTTATATTTTCTGCCCAGAAGATATTATATTTTGTGTAGTGTTATATGCATTGTGGTTTTAAAAATATGAAAAAATATGCCAGACAATCGGAATGCATCAAAGGCCCCTCCCATTATTTTTTCATATTTTTCTGACCCTTGCCAGCTTAGGTAAAAGATTCCTTTGACTTGTTTCCATGGCCGCTTTGTTTGACAATGGTATGGTGAGTGAAGGATGTTGCTTTAAAATTATCTAATCTGAAATTTGATTACTCAAACTTCTCAAGTCTGTTAACAATTACTTACTATCTGTTTAACTCCCTTATCAGTACGGATTTGGTTACGGATTTGGTTACATATTTTCAGTACGGATTCGGTAACAGATTTGGTTACAAATTTGGTCATCAGGTTTTTCTTGCAACTCCTCCACCACCCCGTTTCCCATACATCGCTAATTATGGTGATTTGTATTTAGGAATGGACTTTACATCAAGTACGAGAGAAACAAAGTCAAGACATTCATGACTACCTTTTTGATCAAAAACATCAAAGGGAGTAGAGTTTCCGCCATTTTTGACCTTGAGATTGGACAAATTGTAAGAATAACAACTGCATGTTTGTCACTAATAGAATGTGATCATCATAATTAGTTGATCATGAGAAAAAAACAACAGAAAAAGTGACAATCCCAACGAGTATAGTTATAAGTCACACAAATTAATAATGAAATAACTTTTGATCTTTCAAATGGGATTAGTGAATTGATATCGTCAAGAGTTTCTTGCTGAGATCTTATGAATAACCTCACATCCCAGCTTGTGGATCTGATACGGTAGTACTATTGTTTCCAGGAGGGTCATCACGATGTTCACCATACTCGTAATAACGCTCATCGGTATACATCTCCATCTCGTCATGGACATTAACATGTCGGGTGAGTGGAGAGGCGATGGCAATTTTGTGAATAGCCATCTCGTGCGCTCTGTATATTTGGATATCCAAGTCATGCATCTCGGTTAAATCAGATGTTGAGGCTTCTACAACTTCGAGCCGATGTTGAAGTTCGCCGTGCTCTTTGATGAGTAAGGAAACGGCGGGGATGGTGCGATGAAGCTCCCCATCTGAATCCTCCATCAGCGAGCTGGAACGAAAGTATTGTGTGACGGCGGAATAGGACTACAGACTTACTTTGCACTGCAACCTTCGTGTCCATCTCTTGAAGTTGAGCCATGAGAGTATTAACCTGCTCAACTGAATCACCAAGGTAAGCAAGCTGGAACGACCTGATAATGCGACGGCCAATCATCACGAGAGACTCACTTTGCGAAGTAATCATGTGCTCCGCGTCTCGAAGTGTAGCCTTGAGAGTAGCGACTTCATGTTTCAACATCTCGGCTGAATTATTAATGAGATATGATCAAAAGATTAGACATGACTATATCATTCCTGAGAGTTAGAGTCAGACCATAGAACCAACTTTCTTCTTTCATCAAAGGAGATTTTGCCCTGTCTCTTTTCATTTGATATCGGGAATCACGAAATGATCAGATCAATGAAAATGAAGGCCAGGGAAATGAAAGTATAGATGGAAGAGTGTGTTTGAAAAGACGGAAACCCTCACCGGTTAAAACCAGACATCTTATGTACGCACTGGAAGGTTGTTCAAGCAACCTCTGGTTCTCTGATCTGCAAACGCGCAGTAGTTTGTGGTCGGTCAACAATACCCTACCTCCGATTGGAGATCTTTGTTGCATTTGACACAAATTTGAATTGAGTGACTTACCCATGCATCCTTGAATGGAGCCATGATAGGCGCCATAATATATCTGTCTGACTTTAAGGGTCCCATAGATAGACAAAATATAGAAGAAAATCTTGAATCGTGTTAAAAATAAAGACAAACTTATTTCTTGATCAAAAAAAGGTGATTGAACGGACTATTTAGGAAGATCTACATTAAAACACATTCATAAGGCTTCACAGTGGTGAAAACAAGGCACATTCAGAACCCTTCAGAGATCTCCGGGTGTTAAGAGTGAAAATGGAATATGCGTATTTGAAGCCATACAAACTTCATACATAGGATGTTCTGAAACCTGATTATATCTGATCAGCCTTGACAAGACTTGATTGGCCGGTGATATATTTATATAAGTATACAGAGATGATATATGTATATAAGTATACAGATCTCTCATTAATATATCCCCGGGGGAAATATTTGATCTCACTCACAAGCCGATGATCAGTAGAAAGAGATGTGGATCATTATTCTGACATCAAATCTTACTAATATGTGAATCAAGACTAAAACAAATATTTCATACATTTCCGATCATAAGGGAAATTTGAGCAATGCAAAGGCAAAATCTAACATATACATACTTAAGTATAACTGAGAGATAGAGTATACTTGATAAGGTGGGGTGTTTTTTTGGAATTGACTTTGTCAATGGGATGAAGATAAATATTGAGCAAAAGAAACATAATTAAAACTACCTTGGTTGAATGATTAGATCAGTCACTAGATTTGTTGCTGTCGTGATCGAGTTCTTCATCGTCAGAATCAGAATCATATTCTTCCTCCATATTGCTTTCGCATCCTTCTAAAAGCGTTCGGATTATTTGCTCGTGAGCTTTGATTTTTCCATGAGCAGAGTCTAGATTGTGTTGGAATTCAGTTACTCGGACTTCCAGAGTGGCAACCTTTGACTCAAGTGAATCAATTGTTTCCCTGGCTTGCTCAAGGAGAGATGAATGGTGGGTGATGACACTGGCTGGAGATTAGATGATGGTAGTCAGCTAGACTTGAATCGCTGCAATCAACAAGGAGAAAAACTTACCATCTACTTGAGGCTTTTGCAAATCTTCGAATAGCTGTTTATTGAGGCTCTTGTCGATTGCACCCAGTGAGGTTTCAAGCTTGACAATTCTTTCCTCCAATGTTCGAACTACACTGGATCAAATTAGACAACTAGAAGTATATCAAAGCGAGTCCTTGGGAGAGCTGACCTTTTTCTTCTCGTTGCTGTTCCTCTCGGAAGACATCTACACCCGATTTCTTCTTTGGGGAAATATGGTTTGTTTCGATATCAATTGCTGGAATATCTCGCCCGATCACTGTGATGTTCTCAAAAAAATAACATTACATGAAAATAAGAAAGACATAACTACATGATGTTTGTGACAAACCCAGATTGCCAACTTCAAACACTTCTGTATCGGAAAAATGAATGAGATCCATGTCTTCAGGAACACATGGAGTGTGTTTCAGATCACCTTTGGCGTTGGTTTTGTTTGGAGTTTTCGGTCCAATCGAATCAGCAACTCGTTTGCTAGTGTGAGTTTCAAAAAAAGGATTTGCCATGGCTGATTCCGAGTCGGTTTGGGATGTTTTGAACTTTGAAGCTTGTGACACTGTAATTACTTGATTGACTGGGGGTGAAAAGATTGACTTCTTGAGCGCTTCGAGCTCTTGTCTTTCTTCTTGATTGCTGACATCGGATAGCGAAGACGTTTTTGAGGAAGAGATGGATGCACCGTGACGCCAATCGGGAAGGATTGTTCCTGATTGCATTGAAGGTTTAGAATTTTTTGTGGAAGTTGGTAACTCTGAATTAGGCGGACCAGGCATTGTCTTTGACGGCTTGAGTCGGCTTGAAGACTAAAAAGAAACCTCGGAATCAGCCATAATCCTTCAAAAACCAAACAAACACACAAAGATAGATCATACCTTTTGTTGACCCACTGTTTTCTTTTTGGTCAACTTGGAAACAGGGCGTGTCTTACCAGAAACCTTTACATCGGGATCTAGAATCAAGATACCAAAATACATAGGATGTAGTTGATATATCAGGTGGACAAGATAAGTCGCAAAATTGTAAGACTTACCAATTCCAATTCGCTTTTGTGGATTATCAGGAACTAAGTCCTGGGATGCAGCACGCTTTGCCATTTGTCCACTTTGATCAGCCAATTGAGAATTCATGAGAGAAGATGCTGGAAGATTTTTGAGAGAAGGATACTGAGGTTTGATATCTTGTGCGATAAATTGAGCTGGGGCGTCTGAAGATGGGTTCGGAAAGACTAGAATTATGCAGACCGTGATAACAAGTCAATAATTAGTGACAAGAAAACATACAACAAGAGAAAAACATTAGATTCTGGGCTTAGACTTACATTGAGGTTGTTGTTCTCGTACAATCTTTGCTACCTCTGCTTTGTTGGCGTTCGACTTTATAGGTGTCATTGGGTGGTTGATACGGAGCCAGTCAAGCATCGCTTGCTTATTGTTAGAGGGGTTGCTGGGGTCGAAAACATTGTTGGAGGTACCTCGACTGCTTGAATCCAACATATTGACACAAAGGTTTGTATGTGATGAACTAATTAAGGCAAACAGGGATTGGGAAAAGATAAACAAGTCAGAGTTTTGATCACACAAAGATTCAGGACTTATACAGAGAAGAAAAGGAGTATGATTTGTTAAACTCGAGTTACAATAAAGTGATATCAGGTTATCTGATATGAAAGAATGAACCGAATGGCATTGATGACCATATCATAAATAGAGAACTTAGCATATTATGATGTGATAGACTTACTTATACGGGATCTTTCTAAAAGTCGAAACAGATTCACTGATCAAGGGGAGGAATGCACCGTAAGAGTTGAGTGATAAAATGATTGCCGAGATGGGGGTATTTGTAAAATTATGTTTGTGGATCGGTTGGCGAGTTGCTGCACGGAGGATGGGGACATGGAGACGATGACTAAACTTGGCCTTCATCATCAAAGGGTCCTCCGAAGTCGTAGTACTGTTGATCTTGAAGGCGTTATTACTTGAAGTCGTGGTCACTGTTTATCTCCAGTGAATTGCGAATACTGAAGACTTATCGAGAGTCTTACTCGTGTAATGAATCTCATTCATTTTGCACTCAAAAACTGTATATATTTAACTGTACAACACTGATTGATTATACCCGAATATTCTCGTCTTCTATAGTACAAGATTTATCTTTGTCTCACCCTGAAGGGGCATTAAGTAGTGGATCACTAGTCATATCATGGCATACAAAACATAGTGTGAACAAAAGAACAGAATCGAGATGCCTTTACCTAATCTGTGACAGACCCTATGTATATTCAGATCCAGACCTGATCCGCCCGGAATATGTTACTTTTCGGGTAGTGATAGTTCAAGTCAGTTTCAAACCGAGCTTTTTTCGAAGGTATTCAGCTTAGGAGAGTGTCTGATAACTGGTTCATGTTGGCATTGTTTAAATAAACATTTGAAATCTAGAATTCGGTCATGGTCAAATATCAGGATCATCCAAACCAACAAAGAATGACAAAATCAGCAAGTACAGTTGTAATTGATCATCTCCTTTGTCTTCAATGAGATTATCCATCTCAATTTATTAACAAGTTTCAAAATCTTCAGCCCATCCTGTCAACTCAACTTATCAAATTAGGACATTAGTAGCAGTTTGTGATGAATCGTATCCATCAAAGCCAACTCCAGTTGAGTTAATCTTCCACTTCCACTGACACTCTTTGCTGACATCAATTGCAGGTTTCAGATTCAATGGAACTAATCATCAATTGACTTTCAGGATGTTCAAAGCCCCTTACTCCCAAACAAACAGACAAGATCAACATCAATCTTTTCATGGAGCAAAGTCAACTTTTTTACCCAAAGAAAATCAACTTTCCACTCGATCAAATTCATGCTCTGTTCTCAACTTGATTCAAGCCTTTCACTTAATCCAAATCACCCTTTTCACTCGATCACAATCAATCTTTCAAGATCAAGCTTTTCACTCGATTGAAATCAGGCTTTCTCATTGACTCAAATAAAGCTGTTCACTTGATCCAAACCAAGCTATCTACTCTATTACATTCAATCTTCTTATACCCTCAAAATTGGGACTTTTACTCAATTGAAATCAAGTCTTGTTATTGACCCACATCACACCTTGCACTCAATTAAAATCAAGCCTTTTCCTTGATTAAAATCAATCATCTTATTGATATGAATCAAGCCTTCCATTGATCAAAATTAAAATCAAGCCTTTTCCTTGATTAAAATCAATCATCTTATTGATATGGATCAAGCCTTCCATCGATCAGAATTAAAATCAAGCCTTTTCCTTGATTAAAATTGAGCATCTTATTGGTATGGATCAAGTGTTCCATTGATCAACAAGAAGCCTTTTGCTCAATCAAAATCTATCTGTTTACTCTACAAGTGATTTTGACTTCAATTATTATTTTATCTCAGCAATTATTGTTGAACAGTAAGTGTAATTTGAAGTCGATTTACACTGTTGATTAGACTTTATAATGATCAGATTTTGATTCCATACAATTAATTGATTCATTTGCTGAAAGTGTTCTTGAAATCAGGAACAGATTAGCTGTTAAATATCAATCTAAACATGATGATTACAAGGAACAAACTCTAAATTGGAGAAATCCCCAGCTTCAAGCTCAGGAGAATACAACTAGATGTAGTCTAATCTTGGTAGTTTATAAGCAGTATGAGATTTGAAGCTAATTCAAATTTGCTTTGTTGACTGATATAAGTGTATTATTCATCACCTATTGTATCTTAAAATCAATCAAATCTGACCGTTGATTAGCAATACTATGGCTGATAAAGCATCTCAAAGAATCATCACCAGAGGTTAGGTAACCCTTTTTCTTAACTGAATTCAAGAATACAAATGTAATCATAATTTTCTTGCACATATTCAGACAGAAGTCTCAGAATTCTCACTGACCATCTAAACATTTACAACCACATCCAAATTCAATCAACCAACTGAACAGAACTTGATTGGCCAACAATCATCATAAAAAAAGGTTGATATATTCCCAATCTATAATTGAAAAGATCAAATCACGTTGAATCAACACTTTGGGTTGGAACCTACTCCTGAGAATAACAATTTCAAACCCATGATCCCCTTATAGTCTACCTTAACCCAAATCACCTATTGATAAAAGGCACACCATTGAACTTCAACTTCAAGTTCAGAATTCCAATACTGATTGCTGAAATCATCGCAATTGAACAATCAATCAAGCTATATCCTAATCAACAAAGTGGAAAAGATGAACTCATTCTAAGAGTGGAAGACCTAAAGCCCAGTATCAAAAGCTATCAATGTCAATCAATTCTTCAACTGAAATATGAAATTTTGGGTATAGATAAATTTTTAAAATCAACCAAACTCAAGGAAATTGATCAAACTTAGAGGATGATGCAAGATATTATTGAAGCGTGGTTAGATGCACTCATGGAGATCAGGACAACAATTTGAGTAATCTGATTCATGTTGGCACTGTATCAATCAAATGAAATGATTTAGATCAATTTAATCAACAGGTGAATTCAATTGACATATATGAATGTGAAAAGTGGAAAGGTACATGAATGGATAGTTATGAGGAAGGATTGGTGCAAACAATTAGAATTCTTTCCAGATAAAGAATTATAAAAGAGAGAGAAGTAAGTGGGCATCAAATTGAACATGGTAACAATTTAGAGTTTGAGAAATGAAATTCATACAAAAGATCTACTTAAGCAAATTTGCACTTGCTGGAAGTTAAATGAAGAATGTATTGATATTTGAACTCCAAATGATCTGGAAAAGAATCAAATTTTAGAATAGCTTTGGAGTCATCAATATTTGGATCAAATAAGGTTAGAGTTGTTTTGAATGAGCTTATAGAGTTTTTTGTTTTTTATCCCAGGATCTTATATTCTTCATTGAGCCATTTTCTGGACTTGGATTTATGATGTCAAAATGCAATGGTTGACTGGAAATTGAAGCCCTGGCAGGCTGGGAAGAAGAAAAGGTACAGGAAAACCCTTTGAGTTAGCTGTTGATTTATCTGAGTCGTACATACTATCATATATCTCCAGACTTACCACAACCAAAATCTCTTGCAGTGCAGTTTTGACCTGGGTTTCCAGACACCTGAGATTGCAAGGACAAATGTGTGACTTTCCAGCATAGAATTGGATGTACCTCCAGATTTATGTTATACAAATATCATTTCTGTCAATTTTCCAAGGAGCTTAAAAAGTGTTCCTCAGATTTCCAGAAACCCAAAGTGTGAATGACCCAGATGTTGCCAAAGCTTTCTAAGGCTATGGTATTGATTGCCATCACACAAGCTGAGTTATTTGTATCACTGCCAGCATTAAAGAGGTTCCCAGATGGGAATATGGGTCCTAGTGATCAGATTCCCATTCTGCTACTGTTACACAGTTCCATGAATATTTCCTGAGTAGCCATTGTGATATATGTAGTCAATATTTTGAAATGTGTTTCTCAATCTGAACAAAGTTACAGCATGTATTACACATGATTTTTTTATCTAGATGAGCAGATAACTGAGCAGACCTGTATGTAGCTGATAGCTAAGGATTTACTCAGATGTTTGCACATATGTAGTGTATGCTTTATGGCTCAGATGTGCAGTGCAAGATGATTTGATGCTCCATTCTTCTCTCAATGATATTCCCAGCCTAGGTCATGTTCCGACCAGGGAACCTATTTAATGCTGGCAGTGTATGGGATTTTACTCTCCTTCAAATCATGGATCCAGACCTTGGCTGACACTCATGTATTACCATTGATATGAATTACAAGATGGTATCAAACATGGGAAACAATTGTGCCTGTAGGAGCAACTACTTACTATTAGACTGCAAAAGCTTATTGAAGTGGGTATTGAAATGGAACAAATATTGCCGTAATGCGGTCCAAGTGATGCAGTCACAAAATTATTTTGTATATAAAGAAATATCAATTACAAGTTGAGTTTGAGATTGGGATTAAAAACAACTGAGAAGGGGCGGCTCTGCCGCCAATGAGGCTAGTTTAACCTATAGGCAGAACAGTCCATAGCACCCGGATCTATTGGCGTTGCCGAGGTTGATGATGTAGTTGCGGCAGTGGTTTTCGTCGGGTGAGTCGACTCGTAATTTTGTTCATTAACTTCATTATCTATCTTGATTGCCAACTTAGCCATTTCCTCTACTTCCTCGAAAACATCCCTCACCATATGTACTCTAATTTCACCCTTCAATCCTTGCTTGAATTGAGAAACTAAAACATTTTCGGGCCATTTGACAATTAAAGACAATTCTGAGAACCTGATCCAGTAATCCGACACCAATCGTGTTTGACGTAGAGCACGTATGTCTCTCTCAGCTTTGGATATTCTTTCAGTGTCAAAGAACGTAGCTTTGAAGGAGTCAATGACACTGCAAATATAATGTGTTTCTCCGCAGTGAAAAATGATTACACTTAATTCAAAAAATGATTAAAAGTGCATTAAATCTACATTAAATCTGCATTTTTCTGCATTAAATCTGCATTATCAATCATTTTGTGCATTAAGTGCAATCATTTTTCACTTTGGAGAAACACATTATATTTGCAGTGTGAATTTTCGCCATGTGACTTGCCGCATTCTTTCCAAATCCAAGAGTTGGTTGGTTAAGGATTGACCCCAGAGACTTGCCTTTCCATCCATGTACAATAACGCGAATGCCACTTGGCCCTGTTTGTTGATAAAGGCCAAAGCGTTCATTTGCATATAAAGACTAATCTGATTTACAAAAACCTCTGTTTTTGGGCCTTTCGCTCCATCAAACTTGTTCGGAGTAGCAATTTTAGGAGGCTTGACAGCTACAGGGATTGCAGCAGGAGCGACAGCAGGCATAGGGGCTGGTTGAGTGGTGGGTGCCGTTTGTTGAGTTTCCATCGGTAACGATTGACTACCTGACGTGTTGGCCATGTTCTGTTCTACACTTTTCTGCAATTCCATCCACCTCATCTCAGCCTCTTTCCTCAATCAACTTTCCTCATTAAGTCTCTTGTTCATTTCCTCCAACTTGTTCATCAATTCTTGCACATTCAATTCTGACATTTCGATACTTTCTGCGTCTTCAAATGTTTCTTCTTGTCCTGAGGGTGGACTATTGGGTATAATAAAGTCCGGCGTTGTGAAAGTGTACAGCGGGGTTAACAAGGTTTGAGATTGAACTAAGTTTGTTGGAAGATGGAATTTAAGGTTTTAATTGATTAATAAGCTTTAGCAGATCTGCAAGGTTCCCTTGTGAATCTTCTCGTTTTAACTTGATGTAATAACTTTAAGTTGATTTCTTCTTTTGCTTAGAATCTTTTCTTTCTTCTTTCTTATGATTTATGTATCTTTCTTTCTTAAAATTTCTTCTTTTCTTCTTTTGATTACTGAATTAATTTTCTTTCTTCTTTCCCTTGGATCTTGAGTAATTAGGACCTGAATAGCTTAGAGATGCAAGGGACAGGTGAAAGGGTCCTCTAGATGATTAGATAGATTGCTAAGTGAGGAAAGCAGTCCACGTGTGTGAGCAGTAGACTAAAGACAACCGTAATCAGTACAAGCATACAAGATAAGCCTTATACATGTGAGGTCATAACACATGTTTTGACACATGGATGCGAACCCACCATACCATATATTGCTCAGCTCGCCGGCAGAAGCATTGAATATCCATGCCCCATTATCTTGCAGGTCTGGGAATTTTTTGGGGTCTGTATACCTCTGACAGAACTCGTCACTCTCTTTATGAGCGCGATGATGGAAAGGATCTACTGGAATAATTGTGTTTTCGAAAGCTGTGGGATCCTTGACATCATTGTGAATAACCCGGAGGAGGTTACAGGCATTGTCATAGAATATGACCTCTGGGAGTCCATCAGGAAATGCTTCAACCAAGAAATCCTGGTTTTCAACGGAAAAAAAAACAGAACATGTCAGCCTCAGTATTTCCACCACAAGAGTTTGAAAAAAATCACACCCTCAGAGCACTTGGTGCTTCTGCGTTGTAAAATGTCCGCCTATGTAAAATGATTCCGCAAGTCCCCACAATCAGTTGATCATTGTGCGTCCAACTGCGGCTGCAACAAGCCGTGGATTTCGGCTGGGACACCCCACCGTCGCGCGCGGCCTCGTGTGCACAATCAGCCTCGTCAGCGTGATGAAGGTCATCTAGATCGATGATTTCAGCCGTTTCAGGATTGAGGTGGACTGATGGGTCAGATGGTAGGTTTGAGCCCGGCCAGTTAAGCATTGACTTCAGGGAAAAATTCCTATTTTTTTTCACGTGAAATGAGGCCATAGCTGCCTGATGATGTTTGTTACCGCAAGTTTTTGTTCCGGGCTCTGCAAGGGCCGTGCATGGTTGTGCCTGACACCATCCTTTCAAACTGACCTCATGATCGGCGCAAAATCACAACGTCACTTCGGGTAAGGGGTTGAGACATGGCCCATTTGGAGGTGGGTTGCCGGCACGGTATGCTAACTCTTCCAGCTGGACAGATGACGCTGTACAGCGCCAGTGCCCTATCGTGAGGCCATCGGTGACCACCGCTTGGATGACTGAAGCACAATATTTAAGGTATTAGTTCAGGTGATCTAGTGTTGAAATAAACCACAATCACCTTTCAGCGCTTCCTCGCCGTCATGTTTGACTGTGGTGGCTCGGACACACAACGAGCAGAAGTGGTGTTGAAAGGCATTGCCATGATTTGCAATGTGGTACAGCTCTCAAACCATGGCAGGTAAGAAACGCTCGGCATCTTTGCCTTTGGTGCGGACATGGAGGACAGAGCCCTGTTGGTTGCTTCGTCTAAGCAGACTGAATATATCAACCCCATCCCAAGCAACTTCTTGCGAGATCTTGGGTGACGATTGGGCCCGGAGTGGATTGGTATTGGTTGGCTTTGTACATGAGTCTGGTTGAATAAATTGACAATGTTGAAAGTTGACATGCTGCAAAGTCAATGGTTTCAGCTGATCTATCTAGTTCTAGTGATATAAAGACGCATGATAGAAGTTCAACTGACTGTGCAAGCATTTGGGCTTGCCAAAATGACTTGGAAAGTCGATGGGACATTGCAAAATGACAATGTACCTGGTAATATTCTGGGTGCGCCCCTTGCGATTCGGTGTAGTAATACCTTACTTGGTTCCACAAGGAATACAAAGGACGATAATAGGCGCGGCAATCTGTGTTTCTTCTCAGTCAGCTAACATATGTGGATATGGGGAAGCAAAACGGAAAGCCTTACCTGTGCAGGCCCAGGTGTGGAACTCCGCAGAGTGGACACCATCCAGGTCATATAAATAGCCCTTGATGCGGGGTCAAACAAGGAGCTTTTTGCCCGATGGTTCATCACAGATGAGGCAGGTGGTTGTTGGTGGGGTAAGATAAACTTCATGGATTTTTGTCTCGGTTTTAAGTACTTTGAGTCCATAGGTACAAATGAGCAAGGTTTAATTGAGATGGGCGAACAGCAATGAAGGAAACATATGGTTTCAAAGGACTTTGTAGTCCAATAAGTCAAGGTTAAGGTGTAAGGCAAGCTTGATGAAAGGGAGGATGTGTGTATCGGCTGAGGTCAGGTTGAGGACTTTTTGAGCTCGATGGTACACCTCACTTGAAAGGTTGATAAATTTCGTGAGGTTGGCCAATGTGAGTCGATTGGCCAAGTCTGGGTTTTGTTTGTGGAGGCCATTTACGAATTCAGATACAAGCATGTTTTGCAAGCGCAATAGTCGAAGAGATGGTGGTTGAATGAGGTGGCGGGTAGGATTAGTGGTTGGTGTATGGTGGGATGGGTACTGTATGGTGCGACTGAGCAGGAATGTGGCAAAGCTATGAGGGTAACACTTACAGTGCTGGATGGTGGAGATGGGGTACACACGACGTGTCCACGCAATGGGACAAGTGCAGAGGATCCCGGCGTAGACCCATGAATGTGGGCCAGATGGAGGTCACGTTCTCCGCAGGCGATCACGTGCCGGGCTTGCTGCATGAGTTGTGGTTGAAATGTTGACTGCATAGAAGCATCGGAGGAGCTTTGTATCCGTGCCTGTAAGTCAAATGATCAGAGCGTGGCTGATAATTATCAGCGCTAATACAAAAGTGCCACCTGTAAAGTACAGATTCCTCGGCGAAACACCGAAGAAAAAAAGACACAAGCAAACGGTGTGCTACCGTAACGAAATAGACAGACTTCCCAGACCTCCCAGACGCCCCATTTCGGCCCCGTTTGACTTGTGAATCTCGAAGTCGCACTCAGACCAGTCTGTATCCCACCCAGACTCGTCTGTAAGCCATCAGACTTGTCTGTAAGCCATCAGACTCGTCTGTAACTATACAACAGACTTGTCTCAACCTTGCCTTGTAAATTTTTTGAAGACCCAGCCAGACCCGTCTGTATATCACCCACGCAGACTGATCTCGCTTGCTGCACATCCTGAGTCCAGACCAACATCACCCGATCAACCTATGAAGCTGAGTTTTGAAGACTGACGTCCACCAACAGTTACGACATGAGTTAACCTCAAAGTCACCACCTGGTCATTCATTCATGTGGTCCAAACCAAGTGCAACAAACTCAATCTTTTCATCGACTTTCAACAAACTCGATGTTTCACATCAAGACTCATCACATCAAAAGCCACAGGCAATTCATAACGTATATCATCACAACTCAATTACAGATATTTTCACATCAAGACTCATCACATCGATACCAAAACAAATCGGAAAACATGAATTAAAAAGCTACAACCACGGATCAAACAACAAATTATGCTCAATCAATTCCAAGCGATCTAGTTGTTGTGCAGTAAGTGAAGGGCAGTTAACTATCTTTTCCCATGTATTTGCCGAACTTCTGATCAACGCATCCCACTTGGACATCAAGAGGACCACCGATTCCAGGCTTTCGCTGGAGTACTTTGCAGTGTTTTGCAGGAGCAATGGAAGTAGACGGTCCCATACCATCCAGGTACGGCAAGACTTCAGGGTGAGTTGAGTATGCAGTGATTTAAGAACCATCTGACTCATTTCCCATGAAGATTTTGACACAAGCCCACTGCGTAGGACCAACTCAACTGGACGAAGTCCGTTTGGACAGCCATCAACCCAAGCTACAGATAAACGAAAGAAAGAATGAGTTCAGCAGACAGGGAAACAAGAAGTGAATTCAATTGACTTACGCATCTCACTTAGTTCCAACAAGGCTGAGTGTTTTTCTTCCATCGCAAGAGCTGACCGTACCATGTTTTGAACTTTGTAGGCAATCCGTTCTACCTCTTCCTCACCACTTCTTGCAGTGCGGAAAGCTTGGATTCCGGCTTAGTCAACAAGTCGGCCGCCCAAG